CACTAATCTTGGCTACAAGTTCCCTTGGTGTTAGAAGTATGGCTAGAGGCGACCTCAGAGACACCTCCCTCCAAGGTTCCCCTCACAGCACAGGCACGCCCTGGTATGCCTTCCCTCCCAGGCACCATATACCTACCATGTACCCAGGCAGATTCTGTCTCTATGGGCATAGCTTCTTCCTCAGCTCACTACTAAATTCCTTGTCAGAGTTTACAAACTGAGGGTTAAATCCAGAAGTATGTTCCTGTTGCCTGCCTCCACACAGATCTTCTCCCAACGGGCCATTCCATCCCCCTCTACCACCGTGTGAATCTCAGATGAAGAAATCTGGGTGAGGCATGAGCTATTGCCAGTGGGTGGGGTGGGGGGGATGGACCCTTAAGTCATTAGGGATAAAGGGGTGGGAGTTCTGTCTCCCCCACAGTCGTGACTCTGCCGTGCAGAGCTTCCCAGAGAGAGACACTGCATCTTTCCCTTTCCTTATTGCTTCCAAATGTTTCTGCTTCTTCTCTTCCCTTTAGTTTGTCCCCTGGGGCAGGGTAGGTGCCCTGCCACCTTCCTGCCCTGTCTGACAGCCACACAGGCACCACAACCAGCACCATGGACAGCTCCGCGCGGTGAGTGATGGCTTGGGCTCACCCTTTTGGGAGGGATGGGAGGGGAGGGGTTCCTCATCGGTGGTAGCAGTTTGCAAGCTGTTTTCAGGAAGCTCTGGTGTTTGGGGAAAGGGACTTGGGGTGAGGGCAATTGGCATTCAGCCCCCAGGAGATTGGGTCTGAAGGAGAGGGGCCGCCCTGTGTGGGAAGGCTGAGGGTGAGATTTCAAGGGGAATTTCCCAAATGACGGTGTCACAAAGGGAGTGTAGTCATCATCAGGGAAACCCAGTGTGGGCCTCGGACAAACTGTGTCTCTCATGTGCCATAGCCTGAGGGAGTGGAGAGGTGTGAGCTGGTCGCTGAAAGGCAGAGCTCCTGCGTTCCAGCCTGACAGCCTGTTTATTGTGTCTGAGGCCCCCATCCCCACCCTCCCACCCCCGAATGCTTCTTGCCTCAGCTAGGGACGCAGGTGTGAGGCTGATAGGGAGAGTCCACTAACTGCCCAGCCCCAACAAAAATAGGCCAGAATGCGTGTCTGGGCCTGAGGTGTGCACAGCAGCCAGGAGGAGGAGGAGGGACTGACCGTCAGGGAGATGTAGAGAGGCAGCCCCCCCCCCCCCAGCAGTAACTGCCATGCTCATAGGATGAAAGGCAAGGAGCAGCCATCTGCCATGGCCCAGAGGCCAGCGGATGGCCACACGGAGTCTCCCGAGGCTTGCAGGAAACACACAAACTGGAACAGGGCTTGGGAAAGGCCCTTCTGTGTGCCCAGGCCTCCTCTCCCACTGCCGTGAGCCAAGAGACAAAGGGGCCATTCTCTCCAGGGCTGGAGACTGCCATCTCCGGCTGGCAGTGCCAGGTGGTGGGGGCATCGGGGTGTCAATCCATTATCCACCTCCCAACTTCTCTGGTCCTCTGGGGATGGATGTTTGGGAGTGGGTGTTCCTGGCTCTGTTGCTATGTCAACCACCCCCACCCCACCTTCCCAAACACAAAGAGAGACCGCCCTCACCCTACCCTCAGGAGGAGCTTGGGCCAGCCTGGGAATCTTCCCTTGGGAACCCTCCTTACTGTGGCCAAGCCACAGCACGCACACGTGTCACCCTCTTCTCCACCTGCTGTGTTGCCTTCAGGAGGCAGGCCAGGCAGGGAGACTGTGCACCTCCGGGCGGGCCAGGTCATGTAAGTGAGGCTGCAGCCCTGGTCCTGGCTCAGCCCTCCCCAAGCTCTCCAGGTCCAGCCTCACCTTTCCCCCAGGCTGCCACAAGCCTTCTCAGCTGCAGCGTGAGGCCTGACCCTACAGTTTTTTCCCAGAAGAAGGGACACCCCACCACCCCCATGCTGCCTTCAGGCTGTGGGAACTGCGGAGAGGAGGGGGTCATTCCTGCCACCCTCCATCTGCACCCTTCTCTGCCATCATTCATTAAACATTCTGCCCCCTCCTTCCGCTCGTTAAGCCTGATTTGCATAAATTTGCATAATACGGCTGATTTGCATTCCAGGAGGCTCATGGTAGGAGCCAGAGAAAAGAGGGTGGGGGATTGAAGAAGAGAGAAAAGGGAGAGATTTTGTTTTCATCAAAGTGTGTGCATGTGTGTGTACGTGTGCGTGTGCGCGCGCGCGTGTTGTGTGTGTGTGTGTGTGTGTGTGTGTGTGTGTGGTGGGGGGGGTGACAGGAAGAGGACAGGAATAAAAACTCACACTACTTTCTTTCTTCCCTCTGCCCTCCCTCCCCGCTGGACTCGGATGCCAAAGAGGGATGCCAAGGGGCGGCTTTTCTCTCCTTTTTGTCTCTCTTCCTCCGGCCTTGGCTCCCCAGCACGGCCCCCCACCTTGCTGGGCAAGGCTCCACAGAGAAAGCAGCTGTGGGAACGGAAGGGAGACACCGCCATCTTAGGGAGCGGCCTGCGAAATGGCTGCGAGGTTCTGGCTCATTCGAACCAGTAAAGGAGTGTGCGAGGCAGCCGAGGAGGAATGTCTGTTTCTCCCTTGGACAGCACAGCAAGTTCTGACACATGCGTGTATCCGCATCCGCACACATGCACATGTGTGCACATGTGCCGCCTTGGGGGCGCTCTCAGAGTTGGTGCTGGTACAGTGAGTCCCCCCAGGTCAAGAAAGGAAAGGGGCAGACTTCTGCAGGTTGCTGCAATGCACTTCATGATGGCAAGTGAACCCCCCACTCGGCTCCGGTTGAGGAGAAGATTTGACATGTGGCTGAAAGTGAGTTGTTGCGCAGGAGTGTGTGAGGCCATGACCCCCTATTTCCCATACTCCCCTCTCCCCACACTTTTGTCAAGGCTGCCAGCTGAAGGGGCTTCCTAGAGGAGGGGTGAGTGCTGGAGAGACCATTGAGGAGGTAATGAGGCTCCTACTGAACCCCATGGTGGAGTGGGAGTGGGGGAGCCACCATTCCAGCCTCCAGGCAGCCTGTGAGCAGCCGTGGAATAGCCCTGTCAGGTGGAGGGCTTACCTCTGGGGCTCCTCAAGGCTGGAGGAGAGTAGGCCAAGCTGCCTGGGGCAGGGCACAGAGCCTAGGCCATGGACCTTCTTGCACTGCTGCCCACTTCCCATTGGCTCCTTCCCACCAGGCCTCTCCAACTCCCTTTCCCAGCCCACACATTCTCACTCTCTGTGCAGCTGGCCACTGGCACTGAACACCTCTGGGCCTCTCCCATGGCTGCTCAGGGCCTCCCAGAGAAGCTCAGACTCCACCTCCAGTCTCCTACCCACCTCTGCCTTGGTCTCGGCCCTCTTGCTATGGTAGTATGACCAGCACAACCCTCAACCCCTGCCCTGCCAGGTCTCTGTCCTTCCACAAAATGTGGGGCCTGTCTCTAGAGTAGACACTCCCTCAGTCTGCAGGAAATGGCTCTGTTTACAGGGACACCAAAGAAGGGGCTTTGTTTTGGGATTATTTCGTCTTTGTTTCTCTTTTGCAGTAGGGGTCACATTTAGCAATGACCAGGCTGGGTATAGACCTGGCAGCACCAGAGGCCCCAAGGCCTCACCTGAGGTTGTGCTGGAACCACTCCTGAGCCGTCTCCTCAGCCCTGACTTTGATTTTGATGCTGGACTTGGGTGGTAACTCAGGATCCTGAGTCTCATTTTTCTCTGGCCTCTGCTGGGCCATCTTAGATAAGTCACTATACATTGGGCACTTTCCACAGTTATCCAGAGGATCAGACCCATCAGATAGGTCAGTGAGGGTTTTTTGTTTGTTTCTGTCTTGGGGCCACACCCAGCGATACTCAGGGCTTACTCCTGACTCACCACTCAGGGTTTACTCCTGGCAGTGCTCAGGAGACCATATGGGATGCTGACGATTGAACCTGGGTCAACTGCATGCAAGACAAGTGCCCTATCTGCAGTCCTTCGCTCCAGCCCATGAGGGTTTTGTGAGACTATTTAAGATTTGGGGACATGGAGTTGGGTGGTGAGGAGGTGCCACCGGGGTGACAGCTGGGGGAAACTTGATTGGACCCAGCTCCTCTTTTAGGTCACATCCCTAGCAAAGGTGGTTTTGGATTTTATTTTTCTTTGTGGCTCCTGGGATGGAACCCAGGGCCTCCCGCTGCAAAACAAGTGCTCAACTGCTGAACCATATCTGCCCTCAACCCAGTTTCCAGGATCCAAAATGAGGTTGTGACTGCTGGGGAGCAGGGTGGGCTTGAGGGGAAGGCCTGAATGCATAGGACCAAAGAAGGGCAGCTAAATATCTTCCTTCCAGATACTGGCTTGGGAGGAGCCAACAATGGCCACGGCCTGCTCTGAGGAACTAGGTGCTGCTGGGTGCATTCCTCACCCTGCATTTCTACCACCCTTGTCTGCATGTCCTGCAGACTCAACATGGCAGCCCTCAGGAACACATCCTGCGTGGTCCCTCCCACCACTTTTTCCTCAGCGTACAAGAAGCTGCAAGGTTGCAACTGCCATGGGTTGAGCCAGGAGAGCCAGCAGGAGTATTTTTTGTCTTAAGAGGTGATTCCTTGTTGGACAAGCAAGAGCTTGAGGAAAAAGGATTGGAGCATGCCTGCTGCAAATACAAAAGCTCACCAAGGGAAGGAAGGGTGGGCTGAGACTGGCATATGGAGGAGAGCCCTGGGCACAGGGCAAGAATTTCACCCAAAACAGGCTAGCCTTCTGCTAGACTTGTCCACCTGGTGCTAGCTACTTCCTGGAGCCACCCTGGCCAGGCCCCTTCACCTCAGTTGCTGTGACAATGGGCAGCCATCTTGTCCTCAGGGCACTAACTCCTCTGGGATGTCCTGGGGAATCCCAGGAGGACCTGGGTCCTTCCTCCTAGTGACTGTTCCATTAACTCACTTGGAAGATAGTGTATCTTTCCCAAAGTAACTTGAACGGAGGCTTCCTGAATGCTGGGTGCCTTTGTTTTATTGTATGAGGCTTAGAAAACAAATGGGGAGTGATGTGACAAGGCTCCCTCTCAGTTTTCTGTTTCTGTGGCAGATGTGCGCCCTCCACCCAGGGGTTCCACCCACTTGCTAGGTCCGGTGTTAAGAAGTGTTTCCCGATGTCTGTGGAGGAGCTCGGAGAGGTAAGGCAGGAACCTCTGTCAGCATTTACACTGTCCTTGGGCCTCTCTCTGTGACTCTGGCTTTGGGATAGGGAAACTGACAGTGAGCTTACTGAGAGGTTGTGGGTCCCTGAAGACGGGAACAAAATACTGCCCATCCCCATCCCAGGAAGAGTCAGAAACCAGGAAGTGTGGAAGTTACTGACTCTTAGGATCTCTGGCGAGTTTGACTTCCCCACTCCCCAGGCAGCCTCCCTGCTTCTTCCACCAGAAGGTTCCAGTCACGGCCCTGGGAGATGCCTGGTGTGATGGCATCTCTCACGGAGTGCTGGCTCTGCTGAGGGCATCTCCATGAGGAATGGGTGGGGGAAGGAAGTCTTCCCACAGAGCAGGCCCAAATGATTGATGATGCCATTGTTCCCCACCCCACTTTCCCAACCCTTTACACTGTCACTGGGAGATGCTGGCACAGTCTGAAGTGGGGGTGCTGTTCCATCTGGCCCCCGCCTGGCCCCTGACCGCACCTGGCCTTCTGTTGACTCCAGCCAGGGACTGGAAGCTTGAGCAAACAGTGGAAGAGGTCCCCGACTCAGCTGAGCATGGAGGACTCACCTCAGAGCCTCTGGGTGGGTGACAGAACTGCAGGCCTTGGGGAGAGAGAAGAGACGTCCCTCTAGGGCGTGTCCACCATACTGGACCCTCCATAGTAGGTAGATCAAGGTTAGGGACTTGGAAAAGTCTTGTATGTGAGGTCAGGTGTAGGAGAAAGAGGAGGTTAGCAAGATGTATGATGTGGTACCCAGACTGGACCTGGCGGGAGCTGGCAGAAAGGTGACCCCTACCCTCTTTCAGATTCTTTTCAGCGTTCAGGCCTTTGGAGAAGTCAGGTGGACATTGGGGGTTCCTGACTCTTGACGGTCAGGAATGATTCTGGGCTCCCAACTTTGCTCCAGATGCTGCTTCTTGGGGGTGGGAGGGCAGGTAGGGGAAGTGGGGGTGGGGTCTTGCTTCACACCTTCTTCCTGGCAAAGGAGGAAGGTGGGCACTGGCCTTAATCACACTGTTTTCTTAACTGTGAGTGCTTATGCACTTAGTCCCAAGGCAGGGCCAGAGCCCCCTCCCCCAACCAAGGAGGACATGAGCATTATCTAGGGTCAGAAGACCAGGCCTGGGGGCTGGAGCAATAGCACAGCAGGTAGGGCATTTGCCTTGCACACAGCCAACCCGGGTTCAATTCCCAGCATCCCATATGATCCCCCGAGCACCACCAGGGGTAATTCCTGAGTGCAGAGCCAGGAGTAACCCCTGTGCATTGCCAGGTGTGACCCAAAAAGCCAAAGGAAAAAAAAAAAGAAGAAGACCAGGCCTGGCTGAGGCTGAACCCCTTCCCTAGACAGAGTTCCCGCAGAGTTTGTCCCAGGTGTGACTGGGGATGGGGCAGGTATCATCCTATTCTCAGGAGGGGCCACCCTGCATGCTTGGTGGGGGTGAAGCAGAAGGATTGTGTCCCTCCACACTGGGATGAACTGGGAAGGGCTCTCAGGGCCTCCTCTCTCACCTGCTGCAGACTTGGGATTCCAGCCTGGCACCGCCTTTCCCATGCCAGTTGGAGAGAGGCCTAGACTTTACTTCTGTCACATGGCCTTGGCTGCTTTGGTCCTGCCTCCTGTTGGGATCTTCAGCAGAGGTTCTTCATGGCTAATTTTTTTTTCCAGACTCTGAGGAACCAACCTCCTGCCCTGCAGGCCTGGACTCCTCCAAGAAGCCCTCCTGAATTGAGGAGAAACAAAGCACACTCCAGCAGATGCACAGTGGCCCGCAGTTGCCACTTGGTGTGAATGTGACCCTCTGAGGCAGAAGCCCATCCCATGTCTAATAAAGACTCTTTATGTCAAACAGCACTTCTGGTGGTAGTGGTGTGCCAGGCAGTGGGAACAAATGGACCGGGTGGTTGGAGGTTTTGCTAGATGCCAACTCTGCAGTCCTGAGTGGGGCCACCTCAGAGCTGCCCTGTCCGGGCCCATTCCTGTCTCTCTCCACTTTCCCAAGGCTCCCCAGAGCCCTAGCTACAAGCTTGGTTGCCAGTTCCAGCCACAAATAGCAGCTCCCCTCCATGAGGACTGCTCAATGGCCTGCCACGCCCAAGATGGGCATGGAGGATGGTGTCCCCCAAGAGATCCTGTGCGGGGGTCCCCGGGGTCCCACCATCCTCTTCAGAAAAGCTCCCTCCTCAGAGTCTCTGTTCTCTTGCCTTTGGAGGGACCACAAAGAGAGATACCCCTCGCCTCCCCGCTCACAGGCCACCTCACTCCTGTTGAACAAAAAGAACACCTGTGGGGTGTGGGCAGGACCGCAGCAAGGGGGAGCGGGGCTGTTGCTCCTGACTGTTCCCCTCAAGACATGTCCCTATGCAACATGGACCCCGCCCCCCCCAACAAGAGCCACTGCCAGAGAGTGATAGTGGGGCCCAGACAGTCAAGAGTCCTCCTTTCCCTCTACATGCAGGCCTTGGCAGAACTTGTGTGTGGATCTTGGAATTTGTAAGAATGAAAAAGGTGCAGGGCCACAGATTTGGAAAGTGTCATGAATGTGTGAGGGCCCAGAATTTGAACCATGGTACCACAAAGGGAAAAATTAAAGACCCAAGATTATGGTACTTGAGAGATAGTACTGGAGTTAAGGTTCTTGCCTTACTCACAGTCCCTAGGAGCTAGTAGGGTCCCCTGAGCCCCACCAGGAGTAAACTCCGAGCATCACCAGGTCACTGTCACTGTCACTGTCCTCCCGTTGTTCATCGATTTGCTCCAGCGGTCCCAGTAACATTGTGAGACTTGTTACTGTGTTTGGCATATCAAATATGTCATGGGTAGCTTGCCAGGCTTTGCCATGTGGGCGAGATACTCTCAGTAGCCTGCCGCGCTCTCCAAGAGGGGCGGAGGAATCGAACTTGGGTTGGCCATGTTGGCTGTGTGCAAGGCAAACGCCCTACTTGCTGTGCTATCACCAGGTATGAACCAAAAACCAAAAGTAAATTAAAAAGGAGACTGGAGAAAGAACAGAGAGGTTGAGGGCCTGGAGAGATAGCACAGCGGGTAGGGCGTTTGCCTTGCGCGTGGCCGACCCAGGTTCATTTCCCAGCATCCCATATGGTCCCCTGAGAACCGCCAGGAGTAACTCCTGAGTGAAGAGCCAGGAGCCAGGAGTAACCCCTGTGCATCGCTGGGTGTGACCCAAAAAGCAAAAAAAAAAAAAAAAAAAAAAAAAAGAAAAGAACATAGAGATTGAGATGCTTGCTCACATGACACTGGATGCATTCCTAGCACTGCAGAGGGTCCTGCAAGCATAGAATCAAGAGTGGCCCCTGGGTGTAGCCCCCTACCAAAAAAAAAGATAAAATATATGGTCCAGCAGTCAGAGTGATAGTATAGTGGGTAGGGCACTTGACTTGCATGTGACCAGCCCAGGTTTGATCCCCAGCAGCCTGTATGGTCCAAAGCACTGCCAGAAGTGATCTCTGAGCGCAGAATCAGAAGTAACATCAGGTGTGGCCGCAAAACCAAAACCAAAACAATACCCCCCCCCCCCACACACACACCAAATGAAACCAAAACCATGGTCCCAATACAGCACAAAGGAAAGGTGCCTCCTAACCCCAGCCTTAGCTTCCCTCCTTAGGCCCCCCTCCATGCTCTGCACTCAAGCATATGTGCACCCTCCTGCTGACACACGCACCAGAGAACCTAGCCCTGGCTCCTCAGGACCCTGCAGCCACCAGGACAGCACATGGATAGACAGATGGAATGCTTTGAGCTGCAAGCTCTGGTGGTGTGCAAGCAGTGGGCAGAGGGCAGGAAGAACCACATGGTAGATGTAGGAGTCTTGTTTTTGCTTTTTGGAGGGGGCTGGGCGTGGGGAGGGGCACACCTGGCACTGCTCAGGGCTTACTCCTGGGTCTGCATTCAGGGATCATTCCTTGTGGGGCTCCTTGGCCCTAACTCATTGCATCAATCTAGCCACTCCCCCAATTTTTGTTGGTTTTGGTTTTGGTTTTGGGCCACACTCAGTGGTGTTCAGGGCTTACTCCTGGCTCTGTACTCAGGAATCACTCCTGAAGGGCTTGGGGAACCATATAGGATGCAGGGGATCAAACCCAGGTAGCTACATGCAAGGCAAGTGCCCACCCTCTGTACTATCCCTCCAGCCCACTAGCCCCTGTTTTTGGAGGGAGGTCACACCGCAGTCTCAGGCCTCCCCTGGGCTTTGTGCTCAGGGATGCCTCCTGACAGGGCTCAGGGCACCCTGTGTAGTGGCAGGACTCCAGCTTCTCCAGCTCTTTACTGAGGAAAGCAAGGCCAGAGAAGCTCTGTCTAGTGCTCTAACAGAAGGAGGTGTGAGAAGAATCTACATACCAGTCCCCAAAAGAGGGCTGAGGGGACCTGACTCAGCCAGGACATCAGGGTGGGAGGAGGGAGGGAGGAAGGGCTGCCTCAGGCTCACCATGCTGGGAGTGCTGTGGCGGTCCCAGCCTCCTCTGGGACCCTCCAGTCTGCCATCGCTTGTTAGGAACCACAGTAGTCCTGGAGGTGGGGGGGGGGGGAGGGGAGGGAAGGGTGGGGGAAGGGCGCTGCCTCCGTGAGGAGCAGGAGTGGATGGAGACAGGGTCTTGCCTGGGTGTGCATGAAGCATAGCGGTCAGCCCAGCCCCCCTCTTCTTCAGCTTTTGTTTGGACCCCAGTTTGGTGCTTGAGCATCAATCTTCATGGCCCATTTACCCTCTGGGTGTGTGTATGGGGAGGGGGGGTCAGCCTGCAGGCGGGGAAGGAAGGCTGGATCTGGGAGGAGTGGGGGCAGGTGTGAGGAAGGGAGCGGCTTCCTGAGCCCAGGAATGGTGGGCATGTGGGGGCGCGGCGGGCGTGCTCCTTTTGGGGAACAGAAAGATCCACACCAGAAGGGTAGCAGGGCTGGGGAGGGGCCCTCTGGAGCCGGGAGGCCACGACGGGGGTGGCAGGTCTCCGGGTGGGAAACTCTGGAATGTGCAGACTAGCCGTCTGTATGCAGATGAGGCCCAGGGCTTTCTCGTGAGTTTCCATGGAGCATCCCGCCCCCTCCCGCAGGGTCCCAGCCTCCTGCAGCCTGCGAGGAGGCCCCACCCATCCTGGGGCGACCTGCAACAGAAGGTTAGACTCGAGGAAGGACTGACCCAAGGAACCCAGCTGGGATTGGGAAAGAGCTGGAGAGAACAATTCAGATTACTTCCCCAGTGCTGTGAGAACCTGGGGTAGACAGTGAATGAACGGGTGCCGGGGACGCAGGGGCAGGCTAGGAGTCCTGGTCCGAGCCCCCCGACACCCCCTCTTCCCTATTCTCCTGGCCACAGGAATCCTAGTAGTTTGACCCAGGGTTGCCACCACAGCCTGGAATCTTACCAGAGCTAGGGAGGGCGTCAGGGGCTGGGGGCTGTGCCTGGGGTAGGGTAGGGCTGAGAAGTCTGAGGGTATCAGCCAGGTACAGTGCAAACAGACAGCAGAAGCCCAGAAGCTTCAGTGGAGAAGGAGGAGACCGAAACCAACCAGAGGGAGCATCAGGACTAGGACAGAGGCCGGGGATAAGACAGCAGGAGAAACCGAGACCCTGAGAGATTGGGAGGGTCCTCTCCATCTTCGGGCAGCTCCAAGTCCAAACTGGGCCTGAGGGAGGGCACCAGGTCCCCACCCCCATGCTGCTCTCGCCTCTGTACGGAGAACGGGAGTGGAGGTGTCTTTGAGCAAAGCCTCTCCTCTTCCTCCGGTGGCCTCAGCCCCTCACATCCAATGGTGCAGCCAAGGCCTTTGTGGGGCAGCCACGAGGAAGAGAGGCCCCTTGTTGGCCCATTCATCCTGCCAGAGGTTTGGCTCCTGCCAACCCTAGGCTGGCTGGGTCCTCCTTCCTGGGGATGCCAGCCAGCTCCCACCCGCTGCCAATGCCCATTCCCCAGCTCTGTCATTTCCTGGAGCCTCGGGGCTTTGGCCCCCATCCAGACTGAAGGATGGCAGGGAGCCCCAGCCCCCCATGCCCCCCACACCTCTCCTTTCGCCTTTCACACGCTGGCACCAAAGCCGTGGGAACTCTGGGGCGGCAGCTGGTACCAATGCCCAGCTCAGCCCACCCCCAGACCGGCAACCTCAGAGAGGGGAGATGAACAGGCTTCCCCCTCCCCCGAAAAAGCCTCTCCAGGATGGGGTCCTAGAAATCCTTAGCACTCATTATGAATCTGTGGACAAACAAGGCATTTGCAAGTCAATTAGTGACAGAACTTTCCCAGAAAAGAGCTGCATCCCCACGCAGACCAGACAGGCCCCAGGCTGGGTCGTCTGTCCCACCTGCACCTGCTATTCCAGGCTCAGGGGGAGGGAAGCTGCCCAGTGACCCCCCGGCCCTAAGGTGACTGTGGCTGTGAGCTCAGGGCTCTGCGTGGGTGTGCAAACTGCCCAGCCTGAGGCTGCCCCAGAAACTGTCCTGCCAGGCCCAAGTTCCAGGCCACCTGCAACAGATCAGGCCTGCTCCTGGCAAGACTTGCCCAAGAAGGTGAGGGAGATGCTCAGAGAGCGAGTGCTCATGCTTGCATGTGGGAGGCCTAGGCTTCATTCCCAATATTGCATGGTCCCCAAGCACTGCCACGTGTGAACACCCCAAAAAGTGCCTGTCACCGAGGTGGGCGTAGGGGATGTGACAGGGTGTGTGCGGAAACACTGGTGGAGGGAAGCTGATGGCAGACCCTGGCGAAGGGATTGGTGTTGGAACC